CCGAACATATGCATAATATATGAGCAAGCGAATTTAAATAATATCAAAACAAGATTAGCAACAATATTAAAGAACAAGGGATCTTTAACTCAAGGTGGTTAAACCTCAAATCAAAGAGCACCGAGCTCTGATATCAATTGAAAGGACCCTAGAGGGAGGTTGAATAGGGTTATTGTTAATCTTATTAGATATTAATGCCGATTAAAAGTTATTAACAAATATATCCTAACAATCTTGATATTCAATTTGATATATGCAAGGATATATGAACAAGAGTAAATAAACACAAGTGATAGTACGCAAAAGACAAACGCAAACACAAGATATGATCACAGAGTTCGGTCCCCACGACCTACGTCTCCGCTCCTCACATCGAGGAGATCTCTACTATCACAACCGAGTTTTCTACGCTCACCCGAATAACGTTTACACCTCATAATACGGTTTTCTAGTTTACCAAAAATTTTATAACTTACACACTTACAAATACACTTCAAACCCTCTAAGTGTTGGCCTAGTCCGTGTCACCTTCCTTAAGTGTTCGGAATTACCACCTCTCACTAGGTTTTACTACCGACCCCACTCCTCTTGGAATCGACCCCGTCTCTCACCACACACTTCTATCGGTGTACAAGTATAATACAATGTGCAACTTACAATAAAGCTCAACTACAATAAAATGTTCTCTAATTGGATGAGAACCAATGTAAGTTCAATCTCACAAATCATAATTCCACAACCCAATATATGATGTATGAAATCCTACAAGCTCAAATAGGGTGTGTGTGATAAAATGAGTGTAAATGAAACCTAACTCAATTAGCAAATTAGCAATAATAATAATATGAAAATCAATAATAAATTTCTAAAGAAAAGAGTTAGAAAAATTTCTCTATAAACACAATAGAGGATGAAGAAGATTGAGGATGAATTCCTCAATTGAAAGAGCAATCCACCTCTTTGTAAACTCAAACTTAAACACTTAAACAATCTTTTAAACACTTTTAAACTCTTGTTAAAACCCTCTTGAATACTTGATTCTGATGAGAACAATAGGGGTTTATATAGGAAGAAAAACCAAGGCACAAAACCCAAACAAATCCAGCAAAAACAAAAAAACAGAAGGCTGAAAAAACTAACCGTTGGGCCGTCAGTCGACTGACGGGTTTCATCAGTCAATTGATGAGCTGACCGTTGTAAGCATTTACCAGCTCATCAGTCGACTGACGATATTTATCAGTTGACTGATGGTCATCAGTCGACTGGTCAGTCGACCAAAACGAAACAATTTTTTTTGATGATTCCAGGTACATTCTTCAGTCGACTGATCAGTCGACTAATGTCATCAATCGATAACAGGTTTTCAGCCTGTATTGAATAGTAAAAACAACTTTGAAGAGCTTTAAAAAATAGCAGATAAATTCCAAAAAATATAAAACTTTGAGAAAAGTTTATAATCATGAATATGAACATGTTGGAAAAGGAATTTTTCAAATTGCTCTTACCATTTGTGAAAACTCAGAAATATTCAAAAGTGCTAAAATACATGTTTTTTCAAATATGTTGTTTTTACCATTTTAGCTCAAATCAAGTTCTGAAAACTTGTGTAATTGTTTTATGGACATAATAAAAGATGTTAGCATGGTTTGTATAGTCCAAAACATATTTGAATGTATTTTGCATAAAAACACCTATTTACATAAAAATTCACAAATGTAATGTGTGTGTATAATTGAGCTTATAGAATTAACACACATTATATAAACTCTAAACTAATTTACCCAAGCTTGATAGATCTTAATTGTAGCTTGTCTTGGTAAACATGGAAGAAGCTTGATCTTGAATATGACTTGATGCAATGGTTTTATTCCACTATTCCGCCAACCTCCATTTGATATGATCATTGTGGCGCAATCCATCCATCCTCCAACACGTAGTTTGTCTAGAATACCTAATAAGAAAACATAAACACTAGACAAATAATATTAGGAATTATTTGTAATCATCAAAACAAGATTAGAAGATGTAGGCTCATAACATGAGACCTAACAATCTGTCATAATAGTTATAAGTCCCATGAAAACTAAATACCTAATCATTTTTGACATTGAAATATTAGGTTAAAGGAGATTGAAAGACACCTTTAAATCTACAGAATATTTTTGGCCCAAATTTTCAAGCTCAGTCATGATAGAATCCAACATAGAGAGTCACTAAGTAAGTCAAAAACAGAAAGATCGCACCAAGTAATAATGTGACAAGAAAGCCAAGCCAAGCCAAGCAAAATTAAGATAAGAAAACCAATATGGAAATATGGACATAAATACAGGCTTAGTTTATCTTCCAACTCAGTTTTGTGCATAGAGACAGTTCACCATTGCTTTCTTGAGATCTAACTATCTGCTTGTAAAGTCAAAGTCCTTAAGTAATTATTAATCACATATTTTGAGATTTTAATGGAATTATCTTTTGGTAAACATGTAATGATATTAAATATTTTTAGAGAAAACGACTAGTTCTAGGGTTCATGTACAGGGCCTATTAAAAATCATATTTTATTCCAGATGCTATAATATTAGTTGATGAGATTATGGAAGATATAGGTTATTTGGGGGAGCTTATTTTTTCGGCCGAAGTAGCTTTTAACCTAGTCTATTCATATGTACATGTTTGGTGACATCTCAAATAAGCAAGTTTTTAAGAAATATTTAAAAAAGTTGGTCTTTTCCAACTTTCGAGAAATTACCTTATAAGCTCATCTAAATAAGCTACGTTTGACCAAGCAAGTGACTTTTCTACCCGTACGAGTGTTGTAAAGTTTTTATCATAGGAGACAAAAACCACTAAAAGTCGGAATAACTTATAAGCTTTCAAAAAATAAACCCTCCTAGACACCCTCATAAATTCTAAAGTAGAAAGGTAGAGAGAAGCTCTTGAACCTAATACATTTAGAATTAATAGAGCAAAACTAGAACACATAGGATGCAATTTTAGTAAGATTTGTAAAAAGAAATAAGCATGTGACACATATCGATGGTCAAAAAATACCTAAGAGTAGTCATTTTCGTTATTAGAACCAATTATTCATCATAATAGTAAGATTGAGGATGATTTGGTTTATTGGATGAAATTAAGATGGTTAAGAAGAACGCTTCTAGAATTTTATTGATTGTAGAATACATGTGAAATTGAAAGGAATCCTATCGAATGACTATAATCAACAATGTTTTATGGATTACAATGTTGGGCTATTAAGATTGTAGAATACTTGGTCAATATCCCAAAATTTGAGTTTTGCTCTATAGAGAGCACTTACTAGATGGGCAAAGACATGGACAATGATGTTGATGAAAATCCTAACCTCGATACCAGACTCTCAAACTAAGTTCCATGGATATGTGTACAAGAGCGGGTATGGATACTGGACAGCCCAAATTTGTAAAAAGTAGGGTAGGGGGACATGGCTGAAATGCATGGGCTGAAATTATAGTTCTAAGCTAGATAAGCAAATCCTTTTGAGATTATAGTTTGTAACTGAATATGCTTGAAAGAAACTCAACCCTTGACCAACAAGATTTAAAAGTAGATGTGAAATGTAGAATATATGTCCAAGATGTGTATGATGAGTGTTATAATTAAACATGCATTGTATAATTGAGTATATGTCTGATTGCATATATTTAAGGAGTGTCCAACAAGTGTCTGGCACAGATAAGGGTACATGACATGTCGGGTACAGGTACATGACATGTCGGGTACAGGTACGACATCATGATAGAAGTACCTGCACAACATAACTCTAGCTGTATATACCCTTCAGTCAGTCAAATCTAATGAATCAATAATCTGCTTTAGATGGATTTTTAAGTTTGTTTAGCTTATTATAGAAATTGTGTGGTAGCTAACTTGGACCTATCTAGAAGGGGAGACAATCCATGTACTTGATGGCTTGTTTGGGGATGTCTAAACAATAGTATTTGTGCTTTTTTGGTTAGAGAATAGGTTAGATCCAAGCAAACCAACTAAACCTACACCACACTGTATCTTATTTCTTGTTGAAATGTAATCAACATATTGCAAAGATGTATTCTCACATACAAGAAAAAATGATTTAGATGTTGTAGGCAGCCGTGTATAGTACTTGGAGCTTTAGAAGATGTAGTGCTACCTTCTTCCATTGGTTCACAATTGTGCTACTGAATATTGTATTTCAATACGAAAGTGATCTTTCTCAACTCGTCCCTCTTTGCATATGCAAGCACAGAGATAAGTATGTGAAAAGTGGAGGCTTTTTATTTGCTTTTATATGGTTTGGTTTACACATGAAGTGACCTGTGGTTATGGATGATATGGTATAATCTTAGTTAGCTTTGCATATCAACTATCAGATTTAGTTTAGAGTTACTATCATATATAAGTACTAGAATTAAGCCTGCGCGTTTTCGCGGGTATTATTTACCGAGGTATAGCTGTGGCCTACTTTATAATATGGTTTTTATATATAACTATTTATAAAAACTTTGGCAGTAATTTTTGTTACTATTATTTACAGAGTGAATTTTCGAACTAATTAACAAAATAATACACTAACTAGCAAGTTTTATCAATTTTCTATAATAGAGCCATAAAAGATTTATATTTGTGAAATGTCTTGTAAAGGTTAAATTCATCATTCTCAAGAACAAAAAAAGTACACTGTTTTCAAGGTTAAAAAATGTTACTTCATTTTGAACAATGGATAAAGATCCAAAAAATTCACTGCAGCATACAGAGCATGTTTAAGATTAAAAAATTATACTGTAGCACGAACAGTAATTTTGAGGCTTTGCATCTATGTTAGAATTAGTAGATATCAATAGTATTTCGACTGATTTGATCTTTTAACCATACATGCTTGTGCTTTCTGCAACCCTCCTTTTATACAAATGATAAGGTATTGCAGTTCCACTAGATTTCTAGTTTACTATCTACCTTTTTTAATTCTATTTTGGTTGTTTTCAGGAGGTGGATCCTAAGGTAGAAAAAGATGACCTGACAAACGATGAAGGTGTTGATACATTTCTTTCGGAGCTCACAAATGCAATTCCTGGAGTGGATGAGGCTATGAGCTTCGCTGAAATGTTAAAGTATGTCTTCCTTTAAGGCACACTATCTAATTTATTGTCTTTATATCTTGCTTTAGAGCAACCAAAAGTTTTAACCCTTATAAGAGCAGATTTATGAGTATCTAATTGATTCTGATTTGGTCTAGTCTTGATATGTTGTAGTCTGTAAATTTTACTTCTTAGGTATCATCCTTGTGAATTTGAAAATGCTTGTGGAATGCACCATAATTTTACTTTCTTGTTTTGAGGTTTTCCTTATTTTTCAACATGACATTGATTTGAGAATGATCAAATTGAGAGAATGGAGGAGGTATTCTGATACGAGTCGCCGTGTGAGCACTTTTGATCACGGAATTATCAAAGGTGGGTTGAGAAGAAAATAACAAGAACATAAGAACAATTCAGTGGTGACGAAGGAAATTATGTTCTCTAGATTATGAGAATAAAATAGTTTACAATCTCTCACAATCTCAATAGAATTGAAGAATAATCTCTCTCATATCTCAAATACAATCTAATCTCTCTTGATTGCTTTCTCCTTTTTTTTAAAACCCTAAAACAATTCCTTATATAGGTGTAACAACGTGGATGACAAAGTGGTAAATAAACAAGCCCAAACCCCATAAGAATTCGTACAAACAGAAACCCAAACGAACCAGGAAACCGTCGATGAGTCGACTCATAACATGCATGAGTCGATTCATGTCAAGTGAGTCGACTCAAGATGAGGTGAGTCGACTCGTCAGAAATTTTTGACAAAACGGCTGGGTTTCGTGAGTCGACTCATGACAGACATAAGTCGACTCAACCTGATGAGTCGACTCATGTACATGTATGAGTCAACTCACGGGCTGAAAACTGGATGCTTCGATTCTTCGATTCGCCGTCTCGTTTCACGCTTCAACCTGCGTTCCACTATATTGTTTTACACCTCTATTCTCAAGTTATCATGAGAATCATCTATCCTTAAGCTTCCATGAGGATCGCTAAGTTTCGAAGAGAAGATACACCCGTATCATGACTCCCCCTTTAGGAACTTGAAGTCCCGTTCAAATTAGAACTTCAGCTGAGGAAACTCGCGAGCTCCTCCTTTCCTGTTGAACCACTTAGCCTTGCTAGGTACCTGACCTTGACGTCCAATGAGAAACGACTCCTTCGTCCCCCGCCTCGTCATGGTCGTCTTCTGCTCTAAAATATAATCTTCCTTCAGCGGCTCCTCTCTATCAAACCATAAGTCTTCAACATGTGGCAAGATCACCTCCTGAAACTTGCTCAAGGTAGTCAAGCACACCCTACTCAGCTGCTCCTCATAAGGCCTAATGACTAACAATACAAACCTCTTGCTCGCATTCACTAGCCTCTTCGCCTGAGTCACTGTCACCAAACTCGTCTCCCGTGGAAGAGATGCCGAACGAAAGATGAATTGCTCGCCATCTTTGGTGAGCGTATACTTCTGGGCTCGCCTATCCTAGACCGTAAACCTATCCTATAAATAAGGATTGCCTAGTATTACTTAGCAAACATCCAACGGAACGACGTCGCATGTGACCTCTTCAATATATGACTCGTGGAGTGCAAATCTGAAAGTGCATTGGTTAACCATACTCAATCCCGCCTCCTTCTGAATCCACCTTAAAGGATATGATTTCGGATGTTTAACCGTCTTCAATCCCAGTTTCTGAATCAATGCCTCAGATATCAAATTTTTCTGGCTCCCTAGATCCACTATGGCATCAACCAAGCTGGTCTTAACCTACAATTTCAAAACAAAGAGCTGCTCCCTCGGGTATTCGTCCTCAGTCGTGGTCTGCTTCTCCGTCATAAGGTTGAGACTGTTATTGGGTTCTGTCATCCTGGTAACTTTCTTCGGACCCTGAGCTACTACATATGCCTTCTTCTTCTTCTTTTTTGACTTCAGATGAGGATACTTTTCCCAGCAACGATCAACTACGTGTCCTGTCTATTTGTAGTGATTACATGTCAATCCTGCGTTCCCCGAATCATCATTCTTCTTCTCTTCCTTAGGCTGAGAGCCACTAGACTTGCCTCCCGTCTGTTTGGAGTATCTCTTCGTTTCATTGCCCTTCTTTTGCCTGCCCTTAATGGCAATGACTTTCACACTCGCTTCTGCCACGGACTCGACTGTGAACAACTTCATCTTCTTTCGGATATATTCATTCAAACCCGCCATATACTTCATAAAGATGGAATATTTCTCCGTCGCGATGTTGAGAACCATCGCCGGCTACTGAAACTCCGTTATATATTATTAAACGGTCTGGTTAAACCTTTGGTGTAATCCGTACCACTTATACCGACGCTCCTCAAGAAACCCTACTAGGTAGAACTGTTTTCTCAGTAGCTCATTGAATTTGTTCCACGACATCGTCTTTCGTTCCTGCTTGCAATAAGATTTCTATCATGTCAATGCATGCCCCGAAAGCTTCAAAGTCACGAATACAAGCTTCTCCTTGGATGAATATCCGTAGAGGGTAAAATACGTCTCCATCCGCTCGATCCAATCATCAAGCCTCTCGACGTTGACACTCCCATCATAAACAGGAATCTTTACCTTGAAGTCTATCTTTAAATTCTGGTAAGAACCCTTACCCCTTTGATACGAAACAGTTTTGACAATCTCGGTCTCCTTACCAGAATCAGATTTCTCGTCTTCTCCATCGGACTCCATAAGTTTCTTCTTACCTTTCGAAGAAGATTCCTCCTTTTTGTCTTTTTCTTGAAAGATATTGACGAGGTGTGTGAGAGTCAAACTCATTGTTTCCATCTGTTTCTCCAATGCATCTAGCCTCGCTGAACTATCTCCTTCAGTCATCTTATTCTTTCTTAATTTTTGGACTCCTTCCAATAAAATAAGGATCTCGTCTAGCTTCTTGTATTGTGATCGAGTCAGGACCATACATATGATGCCCCATTCATAGGATCTGATCATTCTGATACCAACTTGATACGAGTCACCGTGCGAGCATATTTGATCGCTGAATTATCAAAGGTGGGTTGAGAAGAAAATAACAAGAACACAAGAACAATTCAGTGGTGGCGAAGGAAAATACCTTCTTTAGATTATGAGAATAAAATATTTTACAATATCTCACAATCTCACTAGAATTGAAGAATAACCTCTCTCAATTCTCAAATACAATCTAATCTCTCTTGATTGCTTTCTCATTTTTTTAAAACCCTAAAACAATCCCTTATATAGGTGTAACAACGTGGATGACAAAGTGATAAATAATCAAGCCCAAACCCCACAGGAATTCGTGCAAACAGAAACCCAAACGAATCAGGAAACCGTCGATGAGTCGACTCATAACATGCATGAGTCGACTCATGCCAAGTGAGTCGACTCATGATAAGGCGAGTCGACTCGTCAGAAATTTTTAACAAAACGGCTGGGTTTCGTGAGTCGACTCATGACAGGCATGAGTCGACTCAACCTAATGCGTCGACTCATTAGGTGTTTGAGTCGACTCACGGGCTGAAAACTGGATGCTTCGAATTTTCAATTCGTCGTCTCGTTTTACACTTCAACCTGCGTTCCACTGTGTTGTTTTACACCTCTATTCTCAAGTTACTATAAGAATCATCTATCCTCAAGCTCCCATGAGGATCGCTAAGTTCCGAAGAGAAGATACACCCGTATCATATTCTGACATGCAACGGAAAAGTGCCAGAAAAACTTCTGAATGAACAGTACCAGGTGAATAGTGACAAAGCAAATAGTACCGAACAGCCTTGAACATTAACCACATATGAACAATTACTTCCCTTTCTTATTTAATAAAAAAAACAAACAAAGATAAAGGAACATGGTAATTGGGGTTAGATCAGTATCACATGCAACAATTTACTCAAAAAGATGGCTTCGCACATAGCAACTCACATGTTTTTTCTCAACCTCACATTTTCATTAATCATTCTCTATAGCCTCACAAGAATCACCTTCACTCAGTCTATAGAGTTTGAAATCCTTATCTAAACAAAATAAAAACCAACTCTATGTCCCAGGATACCTCGACACCTTGCTAGAGGTCATGTACCCATGTCGGGTGTGTTTGGGACTTGGGTACGCACCCAAATGACATGACACATTTGGCACATGTGTGCCTCATGTGAGCTGCCTTTGAAATAAAGAAGGGGCTTAGTTTTGGAATTGGGTTCATTGTTTTTGACTTGTTAACCCAAACCCAAAACTTAAGTTATCTTATTCATCACCGCGTTTCCTCTTTTTCCAATCTGAGGCGTCTCTGAACCCATCAAGCTTGAAGTAGCACCTCAACTCAACCACCGCAAAATTCACCTTGACGGAGCATTGTCGGTGTTCGGACGCCACTGAAGATCTTCGACGAACTTAAAGTGGCCGATCAAAGACAATTTCAAGCAAGTATTGTTGAGTTTTTTACTCTTTTAAGGGGGTTATTGGTTGGGGCAAGTTGGCCAAGTGGGCTAATTATTCCAAGAGAACAATTTTATCCCTTTAGTTTATTTTGAGTGAGGTAAAATGGGACAAGTTGGATAATGAGACAATTTGAAGCTTTGATTTGACAATTAATGGGAGATAATTGATGATGTGGCAATATTAAAATATAATATTTATTTATCAATTAAGTCTAAATTAATTTAACCAATTAGTTTAGTATATTATTTAGTATGTTATTATAATATAATACATTATTTTGCTTCATACTAAAATATAATATGTTATATTGTAATTACCAATTAATTATAACTATAGATGGGATAAAAAAGCCAATTAGTTTAGTATATAATATAATATGTTATATTATATTTTTATCAATTAAGTCTAAATTAATTTAACCAAATAGTTTAGTATATTATTTAGTATGTTATTATAATATAATTATTTTACTTCATTCTAAAATATAATATGTTATATTATAATTACTAATTAATTATAACTATGTTTAATGCTATTAATTAGTACAGTATATTATATTATAGTTATATGATATATTATATAATAATTGATATAATATACGAAC